TAGGGAAACTCAGCCAAAAGGAAAAGTAAATATTTCAAGTGAGATACATTAATTGCCAAGAACATAAAATGACGAGTAATAATCTAGAATCATATAATGATCATTATTTGTAATGAACTTTCGATCCCATTTGACACGAGTTGACTTTTCAGTGGGTCCTTACAGCTTCAGATAGGAATCTTAAGGGTAAAGACTATATATTACTAGTGAACACAATTTTTTCAGTCTTATGATCTTACATGAAAGCCCAAATCATAAAACATTTATACCACTTTGTGACATGACAGTGCTACTTTATTTGTATTATTTAACGTCTTGATTCAAGGAAATATTTTTGAAAAAGTGCATAACCACAGTCATCAACGTAATTATGTGGATAATACCTTATATTCTGTGCAGCTCAGAAGGACCTGGAATTGATTTGTATTATGTGTATCATAAAATCATACGTGTATCAATTTTATTATTGAGGGGGTGATCCTTGCAGTAACAAGTTCTCCTTGTAGTTTCCTTAAATTAAGGAAGTCCTGATATGAGAGACTAGACCTCTTCCTCTTGTTTGGAACATAAGTTTTGCAAACAGCAAACCAAAAATAAACCTTAGTAAAACCAAAATCTGGTTTCCACTGAAATCTTGAACATGAGCCTAATCTTTAAAGGAACAGCATTAGATATCTGATGCTATGGCTTTTGGGCAGGATAGGGCTCTTCTGACAGATAATGATTTCCTTCCTCCAGTGTTGAACTGCTCTAAACTTTCTACAGGATGATTCTCCAGCTTGAACTTCCCTTTTAGCTAAGTCTATTTGCTTTACATCAAGAGATGTTGACAGTTTTCAGCTCTGGCTCCAGCAGTCCAGATGGTTCAATGAAAGTGAAGGATAATACCATATGACTTAGATTTATTATTTTTTTTTCCCCTCCAGTACGAAAAGGAACAGCTTAATGTCAGGTCAAATTTGTAATTCAAACTGCGAGAGACAGTAAACAAGAAGAATTATACTCTTACTCTGAAAAGGACAGTAAACAGGAAGAAAATAGGTCAGGTAAAAATATATAAGATGCAAAAAGGCTAAACTTAAAACGTTTTTGAAATCAGTAACTTAATTCCATTGTTTATGTGGAAGGCCATTATTATGAACTGTGCACCAAATCTGAACCAGAATGTTTTCTGACTTGTATACAGAGACAGTCTAACACAATATTTGCAGGGATTCAGAGAATAAAATCAGCATCTTCACACTAAAAATTAACCTTGATTAAAAAAAAAAAATCAATTTCAAGTAATCGTGCTTTAAGCGGTGAAGCATTTGCAGCAGTTACATATTCAGGTCCTTTCATTTTTCCACAAGCTCTGTGCTAATTCACTGCTGGCATCTGCTGGGCAAACCTGACAGAGTTAATTACTACTGCAGAGGCAGAAATAATTTCTTGCTACCGAATTGCACATTTTCAGCTTTTACTTTCATCAGAGCATTTCTAGCCTTCCTGCTCTCACCCAGAAGAGAGGTCACACAGGACAGGATGATCATCTGGTCCCGGATTTCTGGATGGTTTAAGGCTCTAGATTGAGCTTCATGAAGCAGAAATTCATTGCAGTGACATCCAAGAAGAATGCAAAAGATCTGTCTAAACCCTTCTCTATCGCCCCGACCTTGCCACCCCCTTCTCTGCATCTTTCCACCGGACTACCTCAAACACAAGCATTTCAGCAGCGAACTACGCTCCAGCTACACCAACACACAACCGCGCCTCTTCAGCAGTCACCAAGAACATATTCACTTAAGACACCTCTCATTTCACTGATTTCAGACAACCTGTAAGGCCAGTTTATTAGCTCGCATGTTGCTCCATTCCACAGAAATGGCCCAAGGTATCGCAGCAGCATTTTTCCCTTTGCGACACGAGCTTTCCTCAGCAGCCCCAATCTTGAGAAACCAGAGAGAGAAGAATAGGAAATAAGCTCCTGTTACATGGCTTTGAACTCTTTACTATAGGACATAAGAATGAGCACACTTCTGCCTGCTTTCAGAAAAAAGCACAGGGACAACTTTGAGTGCGATTTCCCACAGTTGCAAACAAAACCCACAGAAGAGGAAATAAAGATATTTTTGGAACATGGGAATGTAAAACTTTTCAGAAAAATAGTTGCAATTCACCTCATCTAGCCATTCCTATCTACATAAACGACTAACACTTCAGAGTCTTGTACAACATTTGACCTTGAAGAAGTATTTCTGCAATTAACACTACAAGCAGTTAACCTCACATACACATGAACACTGCCATTCGTTATAAAGACCCACAGATGGGCAGAGAATATGGAAATCTCTGCCACTTATTCTGGAACAGCTCTGACAGAAGTGACTCATCTTCCTTGTACAAAATCCTCCTGGCAATTTCACTTCAAACAGATATAGTGTTCCTTTG